AAAAATAGTTCGAATTTCGGCCAAACTGAAATCTGGCAATTTTAATTAAAATTTTAACAAAATCGGCATACTTGAAACACGAACCATTCTAAATTTCTTTAGCCGAGATTCCAACCAAAATATTTCAAATCTGTGCTGAATTAATCAAAAATAGTTCGAATTTCGGCCAAACTGAAATCTGGCAATTTTAATTAAAATTTTAACAAAATCGGCATACCTGAGACACGACCAATCATTCTAAATTTCTTTAACCGAGATTCCAACCGAGATATTTTAAATCTGTGCTAAATCAGTCAAAAATAGTTCGAATTCTGGCCAAACTAAAAAATTATTTGTATAAATAATTGTTTTTCAACTTTTTACATGTTTTGTTTAAATATTTTATTATTTATACAAATAATTTTACACATTTGACTTCATATTCATAATCAGCAAACCATAAACGCCTATATCTTGTATTCAATTTTATTTCTTATGCATTTTTGTTTTATTAATCATAGATTTTGTTAATGATGGGAGTAAGAACATTAGAAAGCTAGAAACTGCCCGTGAAACTCAAAATTGGTCAAAATGAAAAAATATAATCTAAATATTTTTTGTATTTCTGCAGTTGTGCCAAATTAAAAAGAAATCGGAGTGTAACTTTTGAGTAGGTTTACTTGTCAGATATGAATCTAGAGTTAAATTTGATCAGTTTACTTCCTGAATCACACAATACACGTGGCATTACATTTACAATTGCGATTCAGCTAAAACATTCATATGTCTAACTCTAAATATAAGGCCTGTATCAACAGTTATTACACAGAGAGATATCAATATTATAGTATATTTTTCCTTGAGCTTATAAAATAGCCAAAAAAAAGAACTTGATTCCTTTCAGTTTGATTATATTTTCCTACTTGACTCAAGGAATACCATATTGTCTTCTTTTGTCTGTTCTCTCCTAACCAAATCAATCACAGATTTAAATGTCACCCATATCATGATTCAACTGGAAAACTTGAAACTGATTAAAAGTCTGAGTGTGTTTTACACAGTTATTAATACGGACCTAAAGACCACGAATACGGACAAGAGTGTAAACAGATGTCTGAACTTAACGATTGAAAGCCATACTTCAAATATGACGTAATTGGCGATAATCATGCGTGGCGTGCGAAGGCGCGAAGAATCAAACGGCGTTGCGCCCGGCGCGAGAAAGCAATGAGAAGTTCTTCTGCGGCGCGATTGGCTTCGTTATGTGCGTCGATAGAACGCTTCACTTCAATAATCGGGTGCGTACACGGCGTTTCTACTGGCTCGTGCAAATAGTCACTTCCGCTGCACGACGTGCGGGCCCGCCGATCAATCGCGATCGCAAGAAAGCGCGAGGATGCACGCGAGAAAGTCAAGCACGTGTCGCCAGTATACAGAGAGACTCGTCTAAATTCATTTCACCGGCTCGACGCGCGGACGAACGAGCGAAGCAGGACGAATTAATTGTGTTTGCGAATAAATCTCCAAAAAATTGTGGTTAAAAAAATATCATTCTCGGTGGGACATGAATTCAGCACGGCGATTAAAATATGCGAGAGCGAACGCTCGTTAATCAAAAGAAAATCGAATCAATTGAATGAATATCTACACGGAGGAAAACAATGTGTTGGCGCAGCAAATTTTTTGCTGGTCTAGCAAAATCTTTTTGTTATTATATAGACAGCAAAAAAACTTTACTAAGAATACTAATCACTATTTGCTGCACTGAGAAAAAAAATTACTAAATTTCAAAAAACGTTTGTTTAGGTAGTACTGTGAAGATATTTGTTTAAATTAAGTAATTATTTTCTAAAATTAAAGAAACAAATTTATATTTAAAACTTCTTTATTTAATTTTAGAAAATAATTATTTAATTTAAACAAATATCTTCACAGTATTATCCAAATAAACGTTTTTTGAAATTTAGTAAATTTTTTTCTCAGTGTGGATATAATTTGCTGAATCTACAAATTATTTTGCTATAAGAACCATGATGGATTTATATAAGCAGTTGCAGTTTTACTCCGATAGTAAATAAATATGTTAAGGATACATTATTTTGTATCAATACCAAATTAACGTGATTCTTAGCACAAATACACTCAACAAATTTGTTCTATCCTGGCAACGAAACTATTTCTACTCTGATAACGAATAATTTGTAAAATTAGTTACGTCAATTAAATTTTTTTGATGTCACTACGAATAAAATTATTTTTCTCCGTGAATATCTACCACCCCGGCCGAGATATCGATATATAAGACTACAAGTTTAAATATATGACTGCGCGGAGAAAAATAATTTTGCTCTTTTAGCAAAAGCGTTGCTACTGCACATTCGTAGTAACATCAAAAAAATTTAGTTGACGTAACTAATTTTACAAATTATTCATTATCAGAGCAGAAGTAGTTTCGTTGCCAGGATAGAAAAAATTTGTTGAGTGTATTTGTTCTAAGAATCACGTTAATTTGCTATCGATGCAAAATAATCCTTAGCAAATTTATTTGCTATCAAAGCAAAACTGCAACTGCTTATATAAATTCATCATGGTTCTCATAGCAAAATAACTTGTAGGTCCAGCAAATAGTGATTAGTATTCTTAGCAAATCTTTTTGCTGTCCTTATAATAACAAAAAGATTTTGCTAGACCAGCAGAAAATTAGCTGGGCCAGCAAATTATTTTTCTACGATTGTAAACTGCGCATTTATATATATATATATATATATATATATACGACTGTGAGCTCGGCGCAGCTCGGCGACAATAAATTTCCTTGGGTTCACTCCACCGACATTTTGATGTAAATTACGCGGTCGTCGCGATCACGGCGTGTGGGGAATTTTCGTAAGACGTGACTTCGAATCGCCCGATAAGATCCGCGCGCTGCGAGCAGACTATTTGCGACTAGCGGCCAAGAATAAACAAGGATATAGGTTTTCAACCCTTACCGCGCGTCATTTTTGGCAAGATTTGCCGTTCTCTCTCTCTCTTTCTCTTTCTCTCCCTTTCCTATCCGCACCTTCATTTACACGTGGAAAAAATAGAGCAACGTCATTCGTTTCGAATTCGCTCGAAAACAATGGAGAGAAACGTCATCTCTGCCAAGAGAATCGTCTCGATTCGATTCGACGCGCGACAGTTTAAAGTCGATTCGCCAGAAACTTGCATCAGATGTCACATGTACCTTAACTTGTAGCTAGAATAATTACTAGCAATCCTCAACATTTAATATGTTCATTTGACAATGAGAGAAAAATGTCTGAGAAATAAAAGATATTTATTCGAAGGGTACTAATAATAACATATTGATTTATATCTAAATTCTATTATTTAGATAAAATTCAGATTTAAGTGAATTAAATAGAAAATAATTGTGTGAGTAGAAATTAAACAGAATTAAGTAGATTTAATTAAATAGAGACAATTTGCTAAGAAAATTTATATTTTCTTGAAACCTCAGCCTTCCATAAGACCAATTTTATTTAAATAAACAGATTTAGCTTAAAGTAAATATTTTACTAGTACACCGAATAAATGTTTTTTATTCCTCAAATATTTTTTCTCTCTCAATGCAAAAGTTTGAAAATTGTAGTAAATTATATGTACAGAAGATTGCGCTCAAAAGAAACTATTGGACGCTGAATAAATTATTCTTTACTAATAATGTGAGAACAAATATAAAAAAGAAATGAAAAGAAGATATGAAAAAGAAATGTTGTAATGTTAATAAATATTGAAGAACATATCTGTCGTACTAGTGTGCTTCGATAAAAAGTCAACTATCTCCTCGGCCCGATTTTTTATCAAGTGATTACATTTATCGTTTCTTCTTTACATTCTATCTTGAAGATTGGTTTAAATATCGTAAATTACGAACTTTGTTGTGGCGGGACCGCGAGATAACAACAAATTATGAGCGTCCAAAGATTGACAAAATGGCGAATAAATCTTATTTTCCATACTGAGGAAGAAATTATCTTAAAATCAACAAATATTTCTTTAATGTGGGCGCCATTAACATATTTATTTAAATCTAAATTCTCTTTATTTAAACTAAATATTGTTTACTTAAATCAGATAAACAATACTTGATTTAAATAAAGAGAATTTAGATTTAAGTAAATATGTTAATGGCACCCATCAAAAAAATATTTGTTGATTTTAAGATAATTTTTTCCTCAGTGCACGCGCTTATCGAGCATGAATCAGGCTTATTATACTGTGATGTTAACATATGTAATCGATGATATCAAACGTGCCCGTGGCGAATCTCGGGGTCGAATACAACGTCACAATGTGACGATGTCATTTTCCAGTGACGAGATTAAAAGTCATTTGTGCGATAAAATCTCGCGCGAGTATCGATTCGCCGCGATTTTGTATAAATAGTACTATTATTATACGTATTAGAGCGAATTCACACCTGAACAGAAAATCCGAAAACAAAAAAGCAGAAGCTAATCAGAACTAATCAGAGTTCTGATTGGCTTCTGCTTTCTGAATTCTATTATTTGAATAAAATTTAGATTTAAGTAAATTAAATAGAAAGTACATAACTGACTAGAAATTAATAGATCTAATTATAAATAGAAACAATTTACTAACATATATAACATAAACAAAGAATGTAATTTGTGTAAAAAACAAAGGTTCCCTCTCTCTGTCTATTATCAGAACGTGAGTGGGCTTTGCATGAAATTAAGAGACTTTGCTGTTCCAATATCATTTGTGCCATTTGATATTGTTATTTTCGTGAGAAACATATATTCTCCTAAAGCCTCAATTTTTTTCATGAAACCAATTGTTCATTCTATTTAAATAAACGAATTTAGATCTAAGTAAATATTTTATTAGTACCCACAAAGTTTACCCACAAAGTACCTTACTGTCTTCTCTGTCAAAATGTGAACTCGTCCTTACACACGATAAATTGTATGTAAATAGTTCAAAAGTAAAAAGCAGAGTGCAATATGACTCACCAAAGTGTTCTGGTACCCCAGTCCATATTCCTCCTGCCGCGACTCCATCCTGACTTCCTTCCCCGTGGGCGCAGAGCGAGGAACGACTCGGAGATGGTTCGCTGTCGGCGACGAGATGCGTGGAGAAAGGGTTCTATCGAAGGTGGACAGAAGCCGCGGACAAATCCAGGCTGGATGAACGTTTGGAGCACAATTGACCGTTAAATGCGTCCAGTCTCCTTCTTCTTCATCTTCTTCCTCTGCCTACTCGTTCTCACCTCTTGCCGCGGCGTCTCGTCGACGGCACACTTGGTCGGGACGCCTGGCGTCGTCGTCGATCTCGAGGAGTCTCTCTCTCTCGAGAATCTCGGAACTTTATAAGGCGACGCGCGATTAGTCGCCAAGCCGCGTTCAACAGACGAACGCAATACGCGATGATCGCGCGGGAAGAGTCAACGCGCGTTGTGAGAAATCCCGCGTGTCGAAGACTTCTGCCGAACGAGCAAATACCGATTGATACGCGGAGCGAGACATTCGGCTGCAAGAGGCCTCGTCGCATCCGTCTCGTTAGCTCGGGAACCACCGACGCCACTAACTTCGTTAATGGGAGACTCCAGAACTTGCTTCGTACTTTATCGTACCGATAAAACGCGCGAGAGGAGATCTCGTCGCTCGTGCCGTTCGTGATGTTACGAAATGAGGCAGTTCTGCTCCTACAGCAGAGCCTCCAAGTATCGCCCCGACAAGCGCGGCGCACAGTTGGCTGATTAAAGCTGGCAACACCTTTCCTCGATGAGTTTTGCAATGTATTCAGTAGGAGAATTTGTGTTTTTAGTGATTCCCAGGTGACTTTTCCTATTGAAATGCGTTGCACGGCTCATCGAGGAAAAGTGTCGTTGCACTCAATCAGCCGACTGCACGAGAGCGAGAATCGCGAGAAGGAATAAGGTAATTTCTTCTGCTAAACGCAGATCTCATGACAAATGTGAGACAAGATCGAGACAAGGCGGAGACGTACGGTCGTGTCGTCTCTTGTTCCATGAAACTCGTCGAGGAAAAGTATTGCTACACTAAGCCTGTATTAATAGTCGTTACTTGAAACTTGTATCTCAAGTGAGACGCCCAGATTTGAATTTAGGGCCATATCAACAGTCGCCACTTGAAACCTGTCTTACACTCTAAATTTCTTGGAGTGAGACTTCACTCCAAGGTAGTGAAAATTGCGCTATTCAAAGTTAAAGTGAGAACTTCGCGTGGCGCAATTTTCACTACTTTGGAGCGAAGTCTCACTCCAAAAAATTTAGAGTGTATGCGAGATATTTATTCAGAGTTAGATTCATATTTTTCAGGCTAATTATACGATATGCGTGATTGTATATCTATAATCGCGCGATTCAACTGAAAAGCTTTCACTCAATTCTGAACTGAAATCTGACAAGTAACGCTACCCAAGTGCCACACGCCGATCTTCTTGAAACTTTGCACATATGTAGTACATCGAAAAACATTAGACACATATTTTTTTATTTCGGCTAACAAGGCATTTTAAGGTTAGAAAACGAAAATTTAACACTCTACAGCGCCATGATAACTAATGCTACTCCTGAGCGTCATTCTTTTACAGCTTTTACGACATTACTCTATTATAATTTCATTGTCTGAATGTTTCTGAAGTCGCTAATTATGATTTTGACATTAGTTTTGCGAGATTCAAAATGGCGGACCGAAATCGCAGACATTTCAAAGACTTTATTCAAAGTCAGTTTCGGAGAAGTTTGTTGAATCTCGCAAAACTAATGTCAAAATCATAATTAGCGACTTCAGAAACATTCAGACAATGAAATTATAATAATGTAATGTCGTAAAAGCTGTAAAAGAATGACGCTCAGGAGTAGCATTAGTTATCATGGCGCTGTAGAGTGTTAAATTTTCGTTTTCTAACCTTAAAATGCCTTGTTAGCCGAAATAAAAAAATATGTGTCTAATGTTTTTCGATGTACTACATATGTGCAAAG